TGGCCAAAATTTATGTGGGGTCTCTCCCTATGACGTATTTGATGATAATATTAGGGTATTCACGCGTAAAACTCGGTAATTTATATTTGTGTGCACAAATAATGATGTTTACCTACTGGACGAATGAAGCTCTATCGACGGCGTCGAGTAAACAATAATAAGCTGAGTTACTGAGGCCAACCTATGTTCATGTTCCTACCTGTTATTCCACTCGCATCTCGTCATCCCCGTTATTCCGCCGAGTTGAAGCCACTGCTACTGTCTTTGTGCTGAGACAGGTTCAATTTAATGCAGTTTTGGGTGGGTGGTACGATAAAAAACGGAATATCGCACACTCCCTTCGCCGGTTTTTCCAGAACGTGGAATTTTTACATTAGTCCTGCCGTTCAAGGAAGTGGGCAGCCTTCGTATACTTCCACCTGTTTTTTCCTTCCTTCCTTGTTGCATAGAATGATAATGACATGTCACTCACTCACTCACTTAATCAATCAATCAATCAATCAATCAATCAATCAATCAATCAATCAATCACTTATACTCAATTACACTCACTCACTCCTACATTCACTTAAACTCGCTCACTCTCCCACACTCAGAACACACTCTCACACTCACACTCATTACACTCACTCACTCTCACACTCACTCACTCACAGTCACTTACACTCACCCTCACACTCACTCCCACTCGCTTGCACTCACCACACTCACTCACTTAGGTCGATTTATGTGAACCAGCTAAAATTGAGAGGTAGGTGTGGTGAGATGTTCAATATGATGTTCTGAAATGCAATGATATTTCGGTTCAGTAAGCGTGCGATAGTAATGTAACCTTGAGGAAAACAGTCACCGAGATTGCGTTTGCTTGCTGGCTGATTAGAGTGTGCACTCGTAAGGAAACAATTCGCGAACAGGCAATGTCAGTGAGAAAGGTTATGCTAACGACTGCGCTTCTTGTCTTACTTATCCTTCTTTTTAACATAATTGTATGTCAAACTTGAACGTATGCCGTGCACAAATAAAGTGCCGGTGTCACATATCTTTCGATCTATAGTTGCGGTAAAAGCACCGAAAAAGCAGCGCTAAAGGCTCACGGTGTCGAGTACAAGGTCATATTTCTCCAGCCTATGTCGCTACCCTAGAAAAGTTAAAGCAAGGCTGGGCGTCGACAAGAACTTAGTTAGACGCCTTCATCCGCACCTGCTCGGTATACTCTCATGGTTCGCTTCGTGCTCTACCCCAGCCTCGCGAAGCAAAAACGGCGAGACTTCGTATTCGCTTGCTGAGTCTTGTGCGCTTGCGTAGCCGCATCGTGAAGGCCGTTCTTATAGCGCGTTAGCCACGCTTGTCGGAACTGGTTAGGTCTTGCGGATGAAACTTCTTTAGCGACACGTGACTTGTTTCAAGGCAACCACAGCTGTTTTTACTATCGGGTACTCTTTGGCTTGATCTATCTTATTAGACGTACCAGCGGGATAGCTTTTTTTAGCCTTTTTTTTTAAGCAACACCGTGTGCTTGGTAGGATTCTTGGCATGATGGAACTAATCTTACCTTCTACCAGTTCGCTGATTATCGTCTGCTTAGGAAAAGCTCCAACTCGGTTGGTGTCTGCCCGCGGCATCGTTCTAATTAGGTGAGAACGAGTGTGCCTCGATCTACTGCTTTTGCTTGCACATATATATATATATATATATATATATATATATATATATATATATATATATATATATATATATATATATATATATATATATATATATATATATATATATATATAATAAAGTATGTGTGTGTGTGTGATGCGCGGCAGGCGGACTTTCTTTGTCTGAAATTCGTGTGCTTATCGGTAGTCACGTGAGCAGTAAAAGTACAAAAAAAGAAAAAAAAGATTTCATTGAGTGAGTGCATGTCGCCCCTGTGCGAGACAGTTACCTCGGGTATTGAGTTGTGCTGTGGCTGTTCGTTTTGTAGCTTCGCCGTGTTCGAAGCATACATTAAGAATGTTCGCCGAGTGGAACTCCGATATCATGATAATATCTCTCCACTTTAGAGGTGAATACTAATGGCGCGCCACACTAGAGCCTGCGGTGCACCATTTCGTTTATAGCTTAAGGGGGTGTTATGACTTTCGAGATCTGCTACTAACCACCTCTTCTAAGAACGCTTTTTTCTTTATTTTCGCCACGTGCGACGCTGCAGGTCGTCGCACTTGCTTTCAGAGCAGCGCTTCACCTTCGTTAAGCTTCTCCTGCATGGTGTCGCTTTTCAAACAGCGGTGCTGTTTAAGTTTAAACCAGAGATGCCATAAATGAGGGATCGGGAAATTTAGACAACCAGGTGTTCTTTAACGCGCACCAAACTTTGAGCACGCGAGCCTCCATCGAAAAAGCAGCCCCCGAAGCCGGGATTTGATCCTTTGACCTGCGAGTCAGCAGCCGAGTGACTCTGTGGTAGAACAACCGCTTTCCACGCAAGTCGACCCTCGTGTGCAAAGATTCGAGTAAAGGCTGCCGTGGTCCGCAAGCGGGGAGGTTTCCAAACATTGAAGATGAGAGGAATTCACGAAAGGTGGATCACCTGTCCGTGACTGCCGAAGAACTCAAGGTGAAGGCGCTTGAGCTTGTCATAAATAGAGGCTAGTAAGGACTCCAATTCAAGACAGGCAGGAATTGTAGTTGCGTAAGTTGTGCAATTCATACAAATAACACTGCTTAAGTGTAAGTTAGAAAGGTGAGCAACTTGGAAGCGATGCATGCTCGTAAAAACCAGTACGAGCAGCAAGGAGCACAAGACGACAAGGACACAGTACGAGCGCAGTCTAACATATGAAATTGTTGAAAAAAAACGCAACAAAAGCAAACGTCATGCGTGTTCAAAAACGTTTAGGTGACGCCAAAGAAATGGTTGAGCGTACCTGCTTCGCACACCTATCACCTTTCTTATCGATAAAGAAGGGTTCCGCAAGTGCCCGAGCCCTGTTGTTTAGGCGCTTCTGACAGTTGTTAGGTGGCGCTCATACATTGTCATTCCTGACTTGTCTTCCGTCCGGCTCACGCTAATTTGTACAAACATAGCGCGCGCGCGGGTGTGATTGCTTGAGTGTGTGTGTGCGTGTGCATGCGTTGGTGTGGGTGCCTACGTTCATGCAAGCGTGTTTGCGCGTGCATGCGGGCATATGTGCGTGCGTGTGTGTGTGAGTGCTTGTATTTGCGTTCGTGCGTGTGTGTGTGCGCGTGTCTGTGTGTACAGAAGTGGTGTTTCGATGTAGCCACAATTTCGAAAATTTTCCGCTTGCTTGATCCTACAGCTGACGCAAAGAAAAAGAAAAAAAAACAACAAGACGCGCCTACATCATCACGCATCTCGTCGCACTGAAAGCCAGCCAGAATCCTGCTATTGCCCTGTCGTCCTGGAGAAATAACGATAGAAGAAGCCCAACGAAGCGCGCGTTCAAGAGGCTGCTGCCGGGTGATTGAAAAGACCCCGAAGAAGTGACGAGAAATACCTTTTGCGCGTTCGGCGTAGATTTGGGGCGGGTGGATGCTCCACAAGAGCAAACATATAAAACAGGTAAATGCGTCGAGCGTGGTGTTTCGACAACTCCGGGCGGCTTCCGTGCGGTACGCGTATTTGTTTGCGTCCTACGTGCGCCCGTAATCGAAATTCTCGCCCCGAAGTCGAGAAACCCAGTGAAGGGACGATTTCGTTTCCCACTGACGCCGTATAGTTTGGCTTTTTATATGCCCGGGAATGAGGTAGGTTGAGTGACGTAAACGTTTTTTTTTTTCGAAGCACTTCGACCGACCGGCCGACTGAGGTTCCTATCGAGGCTGTCATGTGCAAAAGCTTTGGGAAAAGATGGTTGGGAAGGATGACTAACGTGCCTATGAGAAATGCAAGAAATAGCTTCTCTGTCTGTCTCGTTCTGTCTGTCTCTTTCTATTAAACATATATATGTAAACCTGTGCACATCAGACCGCGCGATAAGTTAAGAAAGAGCGCTCGGATGGCTGAAAAAGCAGTAAGGCATGTGGGACCAGGCACGAGTATGTACTGAGTAATTGTAGGCGTGTCTACGGTTCCGGTAAAAGGGGCGGGGGAGTGAAAATTCTACTGATGCTCCGCCCGTCTTTCTCTCCGGTATTCCCGACACCCTCCCTCTGAGGCTTTTATGATCAGAATGCAGTGAAGGGACGAAGTATCAAGAAAGGCGTCTCCACCCCCCTTCCTTTCCATTGCCCTCGTTGTGCGCACTTCTATGGGTGTACTGGTGCCTTGATCGTCGAGTAAGTTTGAGTACGTATACGTACTCGAATGTCTCGGGAAGAATGAGTAGTTCCGAAATTTTTCTCGCGCTGAGAAACGAGCCAGCGATGAAAAGAATAATCTGAACAGAAACGAGATGCCGGCCTGGCATGTCGGCAAAACTTGTGGAGCTCACTCAGACACGCTCGTGAAATATATTTTGAGCTTTGAACTAAGTCGCACTGAGACTCATGAAAATTTTGCTGAACCGGACTCACTCGGACTCGCACTCACGAAAATGTTCTTAACCCGAACTCACTCTGACTCAGAATCACAAAAGCTCCGCCGCGGTGGTCTAGTGGCTAAGGTACTCGGCCTCTGACCCGCAGGTCGCGGTATCGAATCCCGGCTGCGGCGGCTGCTTTTCCGATGGAGGCAGAAATGTTGTAGGCTCGTGTGCTTATATTTGCGTGCACGTTAAAGAACCCCAGGTGGTCCAAACTTCAGGAGCCCTCCACTACGGCGTCTCTCAGATTCATATGGTGGTTTGGGGACATTAAACCCCACATATCAATCAATCAATCAATCACAATATACCTTTAGTTAATAAATCATTTCTTTCATCGTTCTCTTCCCTTTCTTCTAATCTTGGCCCCACTTATTTAATGAAAAAAAAAATCAGCACCGCGACTAAGCAGGAGATTGCGTGTGACGGCGATATAACGCAGTGTTTATTCGGTGCCTTCTCGCGCAGCCTGCGTCACACGTTGGGCCTCAGCGACGACAACACGAATGCCACGGACACCGACGACGCGTACGACGGCACCGAGCCGACGTTTTCTGACGACGCCAAGCTGCGACGCGACGTCGAGTCCTTGGACGAGCTGGCCCTGAAGCTCGAGGACCTGGCGGCCACTCTGCGCGATGCCCTGCTGCGCGCCAGCGCCCAGAGTCCATCGCTCGCAGATCGGAGAGCCCAGGGTGCCCACTATATCGTCCGCTTCCAGCTGCCCATAGTCGCCATCGTGCAGGTCAGTGACTGGAACTCTGAAATAAGAATTACGGTGGATGCTTAGATTATTCTATCAACGTGAAGGCGAAAGCCTATTGGGATCTAAAGCTATGTGTAGAGAAGCTCTGAACACCGTAGAAATTTTAACAGTGCCGTAGAGTTCGAATATGGACAGCAGAGGAAAAAGACAAATCACAGTGTCGTTTTTAGGGGCGAAGCTCCTTAAGGCGTAGGCTATGCTTTCCCTGTATGTAGCCACCTCTCGTTTAGTTCTTGTAATGTTCACTAGATGGCGGTACCGTCCTCTGTATGTAGCCACCTCTTGTTCAGTTTTTGCAGTGTTCACTAGATGGCGGTACTTGTATCTGATGATTAAAGTATGCAAGATGTTATAAGCTAGACGGCGGTACTTGTAGTTGATGATAAAAGATGCGACATGATATAAAATAGGAATGATGTTACATATGGCGCGTGCCATTGGTGGAAGGCAATCGTTCGATTTAGTGCGGCGACGTACGCTAGGGGAGCGTTGTAATAAAATTGAGTGGGCAAAATGTACGGAGGACTCATGGTTTACCAGAGTTACCTCCGGAGCTTCGCCCACTCATCATCATTCACTTCGTGAATATGGCGGCACTTTTTTTTGTGCTGTCTGTATTTTAACTGTGGCGCTGTCAGTCCTTCCGCGATAACCATTCACCAACTACCCAGCTCGCGATTCTTACTCAAAAGCTTTGTGTCCTCGCAGAGACGTATTCGAAAGGCGCGTCGAGCGTGGTGCCACGGTTTGCAAAACTACGGCGTAAGTCATATTACAATTCGTACTGTCCTGGAGGTGTTGTGAAACCACTTTAGATGCAGAAAGTTTCCACGGGGGGGGGGGGGGGGGGGGCTCCAGGAGGTTTAATGCATCAACTTATCGAAGCGTTCAAAACACCGAAGAAAACTTGGCAGATCCCACGTACCTGGGAATCGACGTTATGCGAAGGGTGCGAAAAAAAGGTGACCATGTTGCAATTTTAGGGGCGATGCTCCTTAAGGCGTGGGTCTGTTCATCCCTTGTATGTGTGTAATAGTACGTAGACACCGCTGACACATACCCGCTCTAGAGCGCGTATGTGCCACAGGGGATGCGAGATGGGAGATGGCGGTACATGGAGTGTTCACTAGATGGACGCACGAACAGACTGACAGATGGATGGATGAAAGGACTCACGGATGGACGCACGGACGAACGGATGCATGGACAGAAGGACGGATGCAAGGGTGGACGCGTGGATGGTCGCGCGAACGTATGGACGTATGGACGGGCTGATGGACACTTCACCTTCATCATCATTCACTCCGTGGATATGCTGTGATTTTTTATTGAGCGACACGTCATGAAACCACGCTAAATATATGCCCAAATGTTGCACGCACACACATATGTTGAAGGCTTGCAGATGTTTAAAAACCACCTGTTTTCACTTGCGCAACGATGCCAACTGGAACATGCGTATTAGCAACACCGGGCGCTGATATGAAGCGCTCATGCTCGCGAGCACGCAGGCCCTGGACACTATGAACTTCAAGGCGTGGCAACTAACCACAATCGACGAGGGCCAGGCGTGACTGCCGCATCAAAGGAGTACATATGTAATGTTTATAAACTTAGGTAGGCAGCACTGCAACCACTATTGACGTTTTATGAAGATTAGTCTCTATTTGAAAAGTAGTTCCGAGACCTGGCGTAGCTCAGGCGTAAAATTCTTCATTGCCACGCAGAATGCTTGGGTTCGACTCCAGCTGGGACCTCGACATTTATTCCTTCCATTTGTCGGAACAACGCTACCGATATTGGTTATTTCTTAACCATCACGCGTTAAAATTTCCCATGTGCGTTCTCGTCGTTCCTGGGATAGATACTAAGCGTCAATCGCCTGTGACACATACCCGCATACCCGTGGCACATACCCACTCATGGGTATGTGCCACTGTCTAATGGGAAGTGTTTGACGACGTACGTGACGGGATTGTGGCATTGTTCATGTCTTGACAGCACGTCATATTCGTCAAGTCATTTTACCCTCTTATGCTAATTTTGGTTCACGACAAGTTAAAATGGTGACTACGAGAGCCCCCAAACGTAAGCGGCTATAGATAGATAGATAGATAGATAGATAGATAGATAGATAGATAGATAGATAGATAGATAGATAGATAGATAGATAGATAGATAGATAGATAGATAGATAGATAGATAGATAGATAGATAGATAGATAGATAGATAGATAGATAGATAGATAGATAGATAGATAGATAGATAGATAGATAGATAGATAGATAGATAGATAGATAGATAGATAGATAGATAGATAGATAGATAGATAGATAGATAGATAGATAGATAGATAGATAGATAGATACGCTCGAAGTTGCCAAAGTTCGCTAACGAATGTTTCGAATTTAAACGAAGTAGATGAGAGTTTCCTTGGAGCCACCTGAGGCCGAGGCATGAGGGAAGCTGTGAGCTTTGTAAACCAGAGAGCTTGGCTTGAGCTACTCCGCTCTAGCTTGCTACTGTGCGCAGGGGAAAAGAGAAAACAAAAAGTGGAATGTATAAATGTAACGATTGGGAAAGAAATAAGTTTAGCATATACACAATAACCACGTGTTATAAGTGGCTTCGCTAGAGTACAGTCTTGTGTCCAGTCTAGTGTTCTTAAGTAACCTTTAAGAGCCCTGATTTCTGTTGTTACATTTCACTAACTGCACATTGCTGATGAAATGCCAGTTTCACTTGGCGTTTTCAGCACTAAGTGTGAACAACTTCTCCTCACTCTGTATACTGCGCAAACAACGTACTGTGTGTGGTGACAGCATCTTACTATTAAGCATAACAAGCATATCTGTATCACAGTGGGGAAATAACTGCCCTTTTAATTTAACGAAGAAGAAGAAAACACCGTGCACGTTCTCGTAGTGGGATACGGCCGAAATACGCAACAATAACCATGTTGCGATCCATTGCGCTAAGCGATGCAGAAAACAGCGACGCGTTACCAAGTGAAATGGACATGATGGTGAATTACACTGGTAGGTCTCGAGGGGTGTGCCGAATCCACGAGAGAACGAAATCCGGCGTGGAACGTCCCGCGAGGTAAATCGACCAGCAAAAAAACAAGCTCGTTCCAGCAGGTAGTACAGTTTAAGTTATTGCAAGCATCCGGTTTCCCACGTTGGTAACCTTGCACTAGGCGTCGCGATTGATTGCGTTCCGCCTTCTTCACCGCTGTTGTGGCTGCGGCGCTGCAGTAGGATGCATGTCTTGAAAGTTGCTCATGTCGCCTTTTCATGAACACCATTTTAAAATTGTGAAAAGCACACAGTATAATCAGACGACACGTCACATAGTGCATATATAATAGTAATGTTCTTTTTAAGTGCCTAAAAGACAACCTAGGTGGCTCTATTTGCGATAATCTGTGTCCTCCCATGATGCCCATGATGCCCATGATGCCCATGATGGATGGATGGATGGATGGATGGATGGATGGATGGATGGATGGATGGATGGATGGATGGATGGATGGATGGATGGATGGATGGATGGATGGATGGATGGATGGATGGATGGACGGACGGACGGACGGACGGACGGACGGACGGACGGATGGATGGATGGCATAAAGCCGTCATTGTTTTGAAGAAACTGGTGAATGACTTAAAGTACGTGGTACTCTATTATGGAAGAGCACTAGGCCGTCCCCTGGGCCTGTGCCATGAGCAGTGCTTATTCTCCAAGATAACCGTGTGTTTTAGAAAATGTTTATCGATTTGGAGTACGTTGTACTCAACTTTGGGCGAGTACTGAGCAGTCCCGGTTAAAAATAAAGCGCCCTAAGCATACAAGATTTTACATATTTTGGGGAGTTTGGTGCAGTCTAGTGTGGTATGGTTAGGCGGTTCTGCGCACGGCGTCTACGGCATTGAGAGCAGAGATACGCTTAGGCGCAGACCTCAGTGTTCCTGGTTTTATCACAAAACCTTTCATGCAAATTCTGCTTTCTGTGCTGCTGGCATCAACGGCACTTAGCAATGCTTCACGCTTTCCTTCAAAATAAGCGTTTTTTTTCTTCATTTTTTGTCATTATAGCGTCTGCACGAACTGAGAGTAATATTACTTTGCTTAATCTTACATGCTTAATTGCAGTGAAGCCTCCATTCGTACAATGGTACTCCGTCGGACACCTGGCACATCTGCCACATGCAGCGTTCCCTACTTCTGCGCGATAGCTTTAAGCGCTTATTTCACAGATTTTCTGGTGTCAGCGTCGGCGTGAACACGAACGCTTAAGTGACGTGACTACAAATGACGTCATAGGATGACGTTGTAACATGTGTAATAGCGTGCTTACTTCGGGAGAAGAGCAACACTACGTGAGGTAGGTGGGGTCAATAGAATGGACTGAAAAAAAAAAAGTCGAGAGGTTGCACTTGGTCGCGCAAGGCTTGAGACCACGGAGGAAGGAAAGGTAGGAGAGGGCATGCTTAGCCGGCGCGGGGCGTGAAAAGTGTGGCGGAAATGACACCATGGCGGCCTTATTCACTAGGCACAGTGGCAGCGTTGCTATGGTTACGTGTTGCGCAGTGGAGCGGGTCTAGCAGTGAGCGGCCGCGGCGGGCGGCGGAATGTGTGCCTCCCCAGGTCTCGTGCTGAGCCGTGGCGGACAATATCTGTGCTCTGCGCCGCGTTATTGGTTACGCAGTGTTCTCCTGGCAGTTACATTACTCTTAGCAACGCTTACAAATCCCTTTGTCCATCACGGGGTTTCTACAGTGCGTAGAACAAGGGGATATCCATGTGTCGTGCGGCGGATGACGCAGATGAAGCAGTTAGTTAGTTAGTTGGTTAGTTAGTTAGTTAGTTAGTTAGTTAGTTAGTTAGTTAGTTAGTTAGTTAGTTAGTTAGTTAGTTAGTTAGTTAGTTAGTGTTCAGCGAGATTGCGTTGGGCACCATGACGAAGCTGAATGAC